AATAATCAAATGGTATGTTAAATTTGTGGAAGCTTCTAACTTTGAGTTTGTAAACAATAAAACGCCGTCACCAGCGATGAAGCAAAAAATAAGTTTACTTGAGTGAGTAAAAACACAGAAATATGTACAGCATTAAAGATAATAAATTAATGATCAATATTTTGATTTATTAATGATACAGTTTAGAAACAAATTTTAGCCGAAAAAATAGTTTGAATGAAAGTTGATATAATAAAATTACATTGGAATGACGAACCATTTTCACGATCAAAATGTAAAATACGTCAAGTTTCAAAATATTGTCCATACTTTACATAAATCTAACTTTTTTGAAAAATCTAAGTCTGCTTGAAAGTGAGTTTATTGTGAAGAAAATACTAAGCGTTCAGATTATCTGTCTTTAAGCTCGCATCTACTTGAAAATTTTGGACTAAACATGTTTTTTTCTTTAACAAAATTGTTCACGATATAAGTGAAAGTCAAAAAGTCAATTTATAGTAATGGCTACATTAAAAACTATGGATATTGAGTTTTAAAATGTAAAATTCTTTCTTTCTTTCAAATTCTTATTGGGCAATATTTTTATTAATATGATATCGGCAAAATCAAAAATTAACTTTTTAATGCTTATTTACAATACTTTTCAAGTAATTGAATAAAAAATTTATGATTAATTATAAATTAACCTGATGACTTTCAAACAAATATGTATAAATTAAATCATATGAAGAAATTACAATATAATCATGGGGTTATTAAAAGGGTAGTTATGAAGCTTTATAAATTATTAAATTCTACTGCAAATAAGTTCAACACTAAAGTCACTGCGACTCCGCAACCATAACAATCACATTCATTAGTATGACAAGCATTTTGAAAGGTGTGCAAATAATATATTTTGGTGTGTTCCATTGCTTCAAGTTAAAATCTTTGTGTTGATCGCACTCTTTGACTAATTTACATAATAAATAAAAAACGAATAAAAAGCTCTTGAACGAATAAATGTCTCAAATCTGTAGTGTGATTGAAAATTAAAGCTCATCTTCATTTCTCGTAAAAAAAATTACATTAAGCCGACGATGTACCAGCCAAAGTTGAAAGCTTGATTTTTAAAATAAAATTACACAGGAATGCTTGAAAAAATAAATTTGTAATTTTCTAATAGCAGCTCAAATCAAAAGTTCCCAATAAAACGAATTTTTATTACAACTAGAGTGAAAATTGCTGACAACGAGAAAAGAAAAAGCTGTTTGTGTTGTACTAAAATGCAATTGTAAGAATTTTTAAACCGATACACAGCTCGATAATCGTTCATATTGATTTAATGTGTGCTAATTTTTTCAATGCAACAAAGTAATATAAAGTGTAAACCTGCGATAGAATAGAAAGTATTAGCTAAATAATAACAAATTCATTTTATAAATGTAAATATATATACAAATATATATGTATACAATAATTAGTTCTCTAAAACAAACACCAAATAAGGCAGTGGTTATTCGCAGTTATAGTTGCGGTGAGCAGTCGCATTGTGAGGGAGTTCCCCCGAAGCTACGTGTTAGCCAAGTTTCATAGAGAACACCATTGGTCACAAAAAAACTTGATTTCATTTGATCATTATAATGTAATCAATTTATTACAGATAAAACAGTTTCTTAAGTAACTTCAAAATTAATTAATTAAAGCCACGTATTTTCTATTGAAACTTGAAGGTTAGCAGCATTATGATATCAGACCTGCATTGTAAACATGCGAAACCATATACATTTTCATTGAAAAATCGAAAAAATAATTTAATGAATCATTTACATTGACGAAATTTATAACAATTTTATTTGATTAAAGATTCGCATGCCAAAAAACATTTTACAAAGCAGGTTTGAGATCAATTAAAAACTGGTTACAATAATGAGTCTACCTGTCCGCAGCTGTCTGTGTAGACGACACAGTGAGCATTTTGAGGGACCACTTGGGCCCCAACACTGGCTAAGGCTGCTAAGGCGATCCACATGCAGCAAACGAGGCAGTGTTCGAGGTTTTTTTATTCATTACCATTCAGTCGAATTTCATTATACACCGGAAACCAAATCAGCACAAATTTAATGTGCCTTCGGAGCACCCAGGTACATGTCCAGTTTTTATTCAAAAAAGAGTCAAAACAGTGATTTAAATTTAAAGATTCAACTTTAATGCAATTTCACCAGTTGTGGTGAAATTAATTTTTAAATTATGCAAGAAAAATAATCAACGTTAAAAAATTTTGAAATTTTGATCAAAATTAAAATAAAATGCAGATTATTTTACATTCATGTACCGGGGTAGACGTATTTAATTCAAGTTATTATTGAATGCATAGTTCCGAGTGACAAATAAACATGGTAAATTCGCAATAGCAGTGCCCACATAAATAAAACATTACAAAAATAAATACAAACCAAATTTTACATGTGCACGACCATATCAAGTTGTTTAATAACAATGTATGTTGAAAGTTTAGGCAAAAAAAGTAAATTTATTCGTGTGAAACAAGTTAACGATTAATTTATCCCAAAATAATAAAATATAAAATATAAAAATGAGATTGCAAATTAAAGTATCGGCATTATTCAAAATAGCAAATGTAAAAATGAAACATAAAAATATTATTAATTATTAAATAGAAAATGAAAAAAAAATTTATCCAGGTTCAGATTCGTGAAATTGGGATGGAAAATGTTAAATTACCAATTTAGGAACATTCAGAGTTATTGTAGATGTATAATTTCATGCAGAATTAATAAATTAATGATGATTTCATCACAAGAGTTGCGATGTTCACAGTGTTTCAAATCGAATCATGCGAAGTCCAGTCGAAGGCAAGCATGAAACAGAAATTAAAAAAAAAATAATGAAGGAAAACAATTCAAATAAGTTGTTATGTCGATGAACAACTTAAAAGTCTTCTTTCTAAAAAAATCAACTATAATATAATAAAAAATCATATGAAGAAATCATATTAATTTCCATCGTATACGAGATTGTTAAAAAATAATAATTGAATTTCATTTCATGTTATTGAACGCGTAAATATAAGAACATTTACTCATAATTTTCTATAAATATAAAAACAAACTAAATACGTTTGGATAATTTTAAAATATACTAGAATACTAGGAAATGTGTATTCAAATGAACAATAATAACGTGAAAGGGCTTTTTTATTTTCTGAACTAAAAAAAAAAATTAAATTTGACATTACCTTGTATAAATGTATCAATGCGAAAGTGCAAGCTGATGGCAATGAAACAACTGTGAAGATTTTTTCTACGCAGTTTTACATAAATATATTTTTTTCTATGAATAAATAATGAAAGAATAAGGATTGGAAAATAAAAGAACTCACGAATATCTTATAAAGACCTGGATAATTTGCATTTGAAAATAAACTATATGAAAAAAAGTATTTGAAAAGGCAGTATTTTTCCAGATCGTGACACACTTTGGTGCTTCTGTTTTCGACTCGTTCATTTGTGTAATAGACGCATCACCATGTGTAACAATTAGCCACTCCGTATTTTTGAATACCAATGCGTAAAAGTGTTAACTAATCTACATTTCATTCAACTCGTTCGATATATTCTAAAATTCGTGTACGCATATAAACACAAAATTCACGCAAAAGCAAATTATAGCTTCCAATAGTCGAAAGAGCTGAAAATGTAATTGAAGCAGAGTTTTTATTGTCAATTATGAAAAAATTAATCTAAAAATTAAAGTGATTAATTTGTTTTTTTTATAACACTGTAACCTCAACTTCGCATCTTTGCTGCTAGTTTTAGGCTTTTGCGTTATAAAATATCGTATGCAACTTGTGTAAATATTCTTTTTCAACAAAACTTGGGATAAAACTTGCCCTCAGCTCCTGCTGTAACCCCTCGTTTTGCAAAAAAAAGCATATCAACACCCGATGCACAAAGTACTATTTTTTCTTCCCACAATTGAATTACTGCATCTCTACTTGAATTTTTGAGTGTCCTTTAGTCCTTCATTGAACTTTGAATGAAGATATTGTACTCCAGTTAAGCGTTGTTATGATTGTGATGAAGTTTCGATAACAAAAAAAGACGCAGGACTTTATATAAATTCTTGATTGTCTCGATTTCAAATCTTCATTGTCATGGCGAAGCAAGGAAGCAAAGGAATTGGATCAGGATGGTATTAAATTAACTGGGAATTTACTGCTAGTTCACTAATTAGTCAAAACGTCTATTAAGAGTCTGTGTTAAAGCAACTATCGACTACGGATATTAAAAGTTAAGCGACCTTGTGCTTGATTCGTCAATTCATCTGATTAACACATAGAAGATTTTTTAAGATAGTAAAACTTTGAAAGTAATAGCAAATTCGTTGAAAAAAAAAACCATAAGAAACAAAAACAAAAGGCTGAGCAAAAACTAGCCAGTTTGAAATACCATGAATACCATGAAAATTTTTAAATAGTTATAGATTTACGTGTGATAATATAACCAACTGTGTAAAACCATTCAAAGAGCTTGATATATAAGACTAGAACAATACAGAAGTACACACATCGCGAGGCCGCATGTGAAAATGAAAATGTTGCTAATGCGCATGTCTACAGCTGTTGAATTCTTAGCTTTGTAAAGTAGTATTCATTTTTGAGAAGGTAAGAGGGATTTGGCAAGCACCAGGTCCAAAGTCAGTTGTCGTGTTGTACAAGTTAATTGTTTGTTAAGCAAGGAATCATGGCTCGATGTATTTATATATATAAATATATAATCAAATGTATGTATATATATTTTAAGGCTATAATAATTATGCGATATGATATAACAAAGGCTTTTGTAACGCAGTGTAGATACAATTAAAGTATTATATCATAGTTTTTACTAGTGAAAGTTTTTCAAATAGCTGATGGTAGTGGAATTAAGGAAGGTAAACAAGGAATACTTTCATAGAGAAAGATGTAATAGAATAAGCATTAATAAAACAAATATTCATGCATTTTTCAAGCATTATTATTACAAATACTGGGTGACTCCTTACAAACCCCATGAGTGTGCATGCGCAAAAACGCATTCGATCTTGGAAAAAAAGCACACGCAATTAAACCGTACCAAAGTAGGAAGCAAGTAGCGCTCGTTCTAGAAAAAACTCACAGTTAGACAGTTCATTACTCAAGAGCAGTAACCTCTCCTGCACATTGCATATATAGGATGTAAATTACTTTTAAAGATCGAATACGCCCAATTTTGCATCTGCATCCTCGGGGCCGCAGATATAATAATATAAATGTAGCATATTCGAGAATAGATATATAAACGTTGACGTTATACATATGCCAGGGTTATGTACGTGTGATTATATCAGATTTTCATGTATAATATTAACAATTTACATGAAGATTTCAAGAAAAAAAACGATACAGTACAGAATGATAAATTCTACTTGATTATGCATCTAAATTACGTAATTATATACCACAAATTATTATGCTCTTATATTTTTGCATCTTATATCATACACTCCATTATAGGTACATTAAAGATATATTTTTTTATACTAAATCATAGATTTAGATATACGTCAAGAGTTCATTGTTGCAAGAGACCGATGCAGCTTTATCAGTATTGCATATCCATAACATACAAACGTAAGTATATAATGTAAAGTTATAATATATATATAATACTTATATATCTGTGATATAAGTTTTTTGCATCTTTACCGTCTGGTTTAAATTTAAATATCATACTTTTTGTTTGTCGACCTATTAAACTAGTTCAAAAAAAGTGTACGTGAATTTGAAGAGTTAAGTGCAAGAGAAGGCACTTTCGCAACGTTTATGCGATTAATGTGACTTACTTATGCCCAAAACCTTGTATGACTCAATTCATTCGAATCATTTAATTGATTACCATAAAATATCGAAAAGTAAGTTGTTAAAGTAAAACAACGTTTATGCATCATTAAAAACGTTAAACACTAATTTAACCATAACAAATATTGCATCGAAATTTAATTATAATAACATAATAGAAATCTTAAACACTGAATAAAATTACAATAAAATCTTCGTTATCTGTTACACATTAAAAAAATGTAAATTAAACTAATGTGCGATAGTAACTATACTTAGGAACAGACACGAATATTAAACTTAATTTCAAATTTGACAAAATAAAGGTTCTGGACATTTTTGCAACCTAACAAACCCCTCTTTGAAACTTATTTTTCGAACGGGTTTTGCAGGAACACATCAGATTTTTCGTTTGAATCCTGCTCCACAGGAAAATAGGAATGATTGTTAAACACAATCGTACCACTACAATCGTTCCTTTATAAAACTGTTATTGAATTTGCGTAATCTATATTATTATCTTCCATTTTTTCTTAAAATATCTGAACGCGTGAATTGAAAAAAATCTGAATTTAATCGATACTATTATTATTAGTTTACTGTGCTATATGCAACATCGAAGTTCTAGAAATATTGATTGGATTTAAAGAAAATCGATTTCGCTCAGTTTGAATGCACAGTTTATTGTTAAATTATCAACAGTTTGACGCTTAAGGCGTTTTCGTTAACATTAAATACGTTACACTATCACAATTTAGTGGGCCTTGAGTTCATTTCTTCGTACGGTATTTTAAAAACGACTCTTTCTCGCAAAATAAAAGAAAGCCACATGTAAAAATTATATACTCTCTCAGTAATATGAAACTTTAATTAAACTTTCGTGTTCGTTCATTGGAAGACAGAGCCGCTTATTTATCAGTTAAGAACTACTCGTTGTATGGGCGTCGAACATTTTTCAAAATAAATTTTTTAGTTCCGTCGCGTTTAGGCCAACTGTTTTCGGAGGCTTGCGGTTTCTGATAGTTATCTTAAACGTAGTAACACGTTGTGCGTTTCTGCTTTCAATTTTTTTGATTTTGAGAGAGTCGCTTTTAGATTTAACGCGACTTTTTTTCAAGTCCCATTTAAAACCAAGGACAACGGCGCGAATTATGCTTAAGTGAAAAAATCAAATTGTAATCTGGAAAAATTGCTGATTTCAACAAATTTATTTCAATTAAAGCTATATTAATTAATAAGCATGATTCGTGCTATTGTTTTTGGTTTTCACTTCTTTGACCATCCGCCGTCATACGATTTAGCTTTTCATTGAAAAAAATCTTTGAATTATAACTCTAAAACGCATATTATAGGAGACGCCATTTTTTTGTGCTATCATTGGTAAAATATTTGTGCGAGGACTCGCTTACAATACTCGCATTACTTCTAGTTTCTTTATCTGGCAAGTATTTTTATCACACGTTCAAGTGCTATAAGAAATAACTTTACTCTTCAAACAAATTCAATTACAAGTACAATGGTTGTTTGTTTATACACAGCTATCAAAATAGTAGTATAATAAATAATTGTATTTACGTTATAACGATCTATGACAACATTGAATTTTCGTACTCACTATTTTCAATGAACACTGGTCAATGCGGTTCTAGATAAAAAAACATATGCCAAATGCATATAATAAGGTGGTAAATAAAAAAAATTAACTTGTGATAAAAACTACTACAACAATTTTTTTTTTACTATCAATTCATTAACCAGTATTCATGAAATATTAGTCGGTATATATATATACGACCTTTCTAAATGGCCAGGTTTTATAAGGTAGAGCAACCATTTTTACTGATTAGAAAAAAAATTCTCTACTCGGTGCACTCAGCATAACCAAACTCTCACGACTGGATCATTCGAGCAGTTGAATCAACAGTAACAGGTAAAACGAAAAATATTTATAACTTGCTTTCAAATAGAAATTTTTCATTTTCAACGACATGATAGGAGCACAAAGCTGCGAGAATTTCATTAAGAATCAATTAAATGATAAATTCATTAAAAATCATGAACACAAGCCTAATAGGATAACTCGAATCGAGATTTGAATAAAAACCTACGATTCAGAACAAGTTATGAAAGAGGACAGTTGAACAACTTATTACAAGAAAGTGAACAACAAACAAAAGTATTCCATTGTCTAAGCCCTGAATTAGGAACACTAAAAAGATGGAGCCTCAAGATCAAATTTAACAATATAAGACTATTGTATGGATAGATATAAATTGAAATCTTCATAACGAGATAAATTAGGTAACACATAGTATATAAAACGAAATTCATAGTTGATAGATAAGAACAATTTCAAACAAACAATATACGTTTATCGTCTACAACAAGGAGAAAAACAGAAGAAATTGAAGAAAAAAATCTTGAGAAGAATCAATTTGTAAAGAATTTGAAGACTCTCTAAAAAAATCCACACATAAAAAACAGTATGATTAAAATAAAACCTATTTTAAAATATAACAACCGCATTCCTGCCCACATTATTTCAATTTTACCTGGGTATGGTTAAAAGATATAAAACCATAAAAATTTTTTATTCATCCTTTCCAGATGATGGGTCCATGGGATCGATAAAAGTTAATCAGCAGCATTCGATAAAAATCACGCAGTACACTTTGGTAAAAGTCGTTCGAAAAATGAGGAACGGCCTCGAAGCCTGAGATGTCGTGTGATGGGTGATAGTCGTGGAAATGAATTAACAACGTCAACGAATTACACAGCTTACTTTACACCTACTGAAAGTTTTAAAAAATAATAGATCTGTTCGTACATCATATCATAATCGTCCACTTCTTTCTCGAATAATAAGGCACTGTTTAAAGTGACGCATCTGACTAGAGAACGAAGCAAGTAGTATTTGGAACTGTAAAAAACATCGTGTCATTATTAGGCGACACTTAGTCGAAGAAAGAATTGGATTCTTCGGAGCCCGAGAATTGCAGGGAGTCGAGCGGCTTAGGTAGTCTTCATTTTTTTGTATGGTTGCATTATCACACCCGAGCTCGCGGTAGGGATCGTCACCTGCGGCTGGGCGGCTATCGTGGCCGGACCGGCGGTAGGAATCTGTTGCATGCCCGGCATGCCGGATAACACGGCGTAAGGCGAGGCTTGGACGTAGGGCGAGGCCTGCACGGAGGCGCCCGGCGGCACGTAATGCCCGGCCGTAGGCAGGACCGACTGATGGCGCATCAGCGAGTAGGGATTGACCCCGAGGGAGGGAGCCGCGGCGGCCGGCGGACGATACGCGAGCAGACCCGGGGCGGACAGAGGATTCGCAAGACCGGCGCTAGCGTGAAGACCACCGAGACCGGGAATGACGGTGCGCGGAGCCGTGGCCGCGGCGGGCAGACCGGGCGTCTGCGAGGGCTGGCCGAGGCCGGCCAGGGTCTGCTTGTTGAGAGCGACGCCCGTGTAATTCAGAGCGTTGAGATGAGGCAGGCCGAAGGAGGCGGCGGAGGCAGCGGCGGCCGCGGCCTGGTGCTGCTTTATCGCTTTGGCGTAATTCTTTTGGGCGACCTCCTTGGCCAGGGCCGCGGGATCGAGCGACATGCTGGACGGCATGCTGAGGCCGCTGAGGACATTGAGGCCGGACATGTTGGACATGGTGTAGCTCGTCGGCGCAACGGAGTGCATGCTCGACATGGACGACATAGCGATGGAGTTCATGATAGACGGCATGGAATTCAGCCCAGCAGCGTGGGAAGTGGCGGCCGCGACCGCTGCGGCGGCATTGTGCGCCGCAGCGGCGTTAAAAGCGGCCTGATGAATCTGTTGGTTAATGTGCTGCTGTTGCTGCTGTTGTTGTTGTTGATGCTGTTGCTGTGCCTGTTGCTGTGCCTGTTGCTGCTGTTGCTGTTGTTGCTGTTGTTGCTGTTGTTGTTGTTGCTGCTGCTGCTGTGCCTGTTGCTGCTGGGCTTGTTGCGAGGCAGCTTGTGCCTGCTGGACTGCCGACTGAGCCGCGTGATTCAAATCGTGAGAGTTCTGAGTTACTGCCGAGCTCGCCTCGGACTCGTGATTGGCCACCGAGCCGGCGGACTGAGCTTTCTCGCTATTAGCGTTTGACGGCGGAGGTGGCGGAGGATTATTAGGATCGACGAGTATGCCGTTGCTCGTGGCGCTATCGGCAGCACTCGTGGCGTTAGATTGGTTTTGTAACGAGTTTGCGCCACCGACGCCCGACGCGGCTTGCGAGTTCGCGGCGGGGAGAGGTGGTGTTCCAGTGTACTCACATGACACAGGCACGAAGGGCTGCTGTAGCTGCATCAGCTGCTGGTAGGTCGTCGCGCCGGCTGGCTGGTACACCGGCACGCCGGACTTGTCGCCCGCGGGACGCTTGTACGGGACCATACCTGGAAATGTCTGTGAACAGAAAGAAAAGGGAGAATACCCTTACGTTAAATCTTCTTCTCGATTAAAAAAAAAAAAACATCGACTTAAAGCATAATTGTGTATTGATTTTCAAGTATTTTTTTTTTCTTTTTGAATCTCGATTATTTTTTCCTCTGGTTGCCCGTCCCGTGAGTCATTGATTTATATATAAAACGTCGTGAGCAAGCTATATTGATCATAAAAATCTTATTAGATATTATTTACTCGATACGTTGCGGTTGGCTGCTTTATAAAGTCATGCTAAAAATCATCATTTCTGTAATTTATATGTAAGACCGAAAGATGTACTTGTTAATAGTAAAATAAGCTTAAGTTTGTCAAATGCTGTAATGACCGGCTCGTAATCAATTTGAGTTTGTTCTTCACTTACAAAGTTGTCGTAGTACAGCGATCCTACAGACTTCATGTCCATCTGCAACAAACACAGGATCGGGTTCAAGTTGCATAAAAGCAAGGCGAAACGTTAGTCATTAATTTTTGCCTATATGAAAATTGGATTGGCTAGTGCGCGACATTTTTATACAGTAACAAAAAAAAATTAATAGCTCGGAAAAAACTTTGGAACTGAGATGTTTATTAAGTTGTGCCGATGACGCAGCTTGCAGCGACGTTGCCCAGAACGACGAAGTATCCTTCACTTAACATAAAACTGTAAGGCTTTTTGATGCAATTTGTCAATGTAATGATAAATCGCGTTTTCTTTCGTGTCACATAAGAAAAGTTCACGATCATGATTTACTTTCAATAGTTTTCTGAAAAACTGATAATACGGGGATCGACGTCCGCGATTATTATTGTACATAGAGTATCGTTTTGTTCATTAACAGTTTTTACAAAGTTATTTATTTCATAATTAGCTATAAATTTTAATGAATGAATATGATATACTGAATAAGAAGCAATAAATTCGATTGCAAAAGTAATTATAACACAAGAACTTCAATAGAGAAATAAAACGTAAAAAAGTAATAGTGTAGCCATTCTTGATTTAATTTGCATGAAAAAATAAAAGCAAAATACAATTGTAACTTAAAAGAAAAAATAGTTTGATAAAGCTGCAACAATGTGCAAAAGCTTGTAAGCTGAATTTTGTCAAATCTCTCATGACCATGACGAGTTTTGAGTAGTAACAGCTACATTGGCAGTTTATTTAAAAAAAAACAAAAGGTCATGATAAACATATAACTATTTAAATGGTAAATTTAAACGAATCGAGAGTTTATCAAGATTTTACCTATTATAAACACATTTTTTTGATTTGTGAATATTTGTGAGACAAATTGTTTATAAAGCTAGTGAACGATAGCAATCTACAGTGCTGGTGATAAACACGTTTTGTCATAAGCAACATTTTATTTTCATGGATAAAACTAAGAATTTATAGCAACGTTAACATCGCTCATCTCATTAATGTGTACTTGAGGATAAGCATTAAATTATTTTCAGAAGGGATGTCACTTAACCAACACCTCAGGGTCGTTTTCGCGCTACATGCATCATCGGCGCAAGCTCTTATAGTTACATTTTAATTTTCGAAAGCCATAATGATAATATATTTTTATTGAACTGATAAAAAATTATGCACATCGAATTTTCAAAGCAATTAAAAGTATTTTTTCAAAATATGCTTGTAGAAATTTTTTAAATAAAAATTAACTTTGCATGAGTATTTTGTTCTCAGTATTTATCGCGTAGAATCTTACAACGAAAAAATTATTTTTTATATCTTTTATAAAGCCAATTTAAAATAAAAATAAATATAAATAAACTCATGGAAGCGAACTGTGAATAATTAAATGGAAGCTTTTCAACTGCAATTAAAAATAATTTTTTCATGGGATAAGTAAAGTGAATTATTCACAGTTCTTTCGTAATTTTTGAAAATAAACTTCTATATGAAAAATTGTCAAAGCATCTCACACTAGAAATAATTTATTTTCGAAATTACTTTGATAATTTTCATGGACTAATTATAAAAAAATATATAAAAAAAGTAAAAGCTTTTATACATGCAAATGCCGTGGTACCATTAGCAGTTCGTCATTGGAGTCACGCATCCGTTTCTTGCCAAGTTCGATGCCCGCCATATTAGCGTTCTGGAGTCCACCAGGCACGTTGTTGCCACCGGGCATTGGAATTGTTGACCCCTGCGAGTGTGTGATCGAACGAGAGAGCCCGAGACACACGCGCACGAACAACAACAAAATACAAGCCCGCACAAAAACAGACACACACGATCAAGTGAACGATGCAGTAGCGGCAAATATCAGCAGCAGTACATAATTCGTATGCATTTGCCGTGTGTTACGTACGACAAAGATAGATTGCATTTTTACATGAGCGTGTGTGATTTTGTTTTTTTTTTTTGGCATCGTTAATCCCCCGAGAGAGAGGCAGAGACAGAGTGAGCGTGCATTTTTGTCGGTTCATTCGTCATGGTTTTTGTAGAATTTTTCAGTTTTCCGGGCACAGTTCGATGGCAGGCGTTAATTTGGCAGGTAGCGAAGCACATGAGGTTTATTGTTTGTTCAGCAAGCATGAAGCATCATCAGGCGAGAGGCAAGAAGAAAATCAAAAAAAGAAAAAAAAATCAAGTTGAGGCTATATTCATTTTTTTTCGATATAAAAATGTATTCATTCAAATGTAAAGCCAAAGACCAAATTTATAATTAAGTAGACATTGTGTTATACATCTATTACTATAAACAAATATGTAATAATTATGTAATAGTTATATATATTATACTATTTTCAGTTCAATGAACATAAAAAAATTAATAACTAAGTTTATTCAGTAATAAGTATACATGAAATTATGAGTTTATCAAATAATATTTGAATTTATGAAATAAAAAAAACTTTTGAAAAATATACTAAAATACTTTTCAGCAGTTCACTTTCATAAAGACGCGTGCGTCGATCTCCCGCATCGCAATAGGACGTGCATACACATCTAGTGGGAAATTAGGTTAAAATAATTAAGAATAAATGAGAATCAACTTAAATTAAAACTAATTATTCAATACTTTTAAATTCTCCAGCTGAAATGAAAAGAAAGTCAATACATTGCATTCAATAAGATTAAATTAAATATTTGTTTAACATTCGATCATCCAACTATCTGCATTATTTATTGCTGTGTCAACTTTTTATTACAGGAAACGAACCTACATGAAAAATGAATATATATTGCTAATAGTTAAATTTTAAGATACGTCAAAATGAATGATTTATAATGGGTCTTGGGAAACTGCAGTGATATTAAACCACTAAGAGTTAGAGAATACGAGGGGAGAAAAGAAAAAAGAACGTGTACACTTGTCTACCGCTGACATCGACTGGCTGAAGTAGAAGCTGACTTTGGCAAAGACGGCGACGCATCTCTCTTCCATCAGGCTTTCTTGGCTACGGTATAGACCTGCAAATTGCTCTCGGCAAAATTAAAGTCTTGTACGTATATAGATATATGAAATGTGTGTATATGTCGGAACGCAGCGCCGGAACGGAAACGAGCACTGTCTGGAGCTTTCCTGATTCTTTAACTTTCATCTTGCTTTATACGCCATGAAGATGGGGCTTAAATAGAGCGCATAACGTGACATCTCATAGAATATTTCGTTTTTATAATACGCAGTGATTTGAACATTTTTTCATCGTTGCAAACAATTTAAAAGTACAAGAACTTTTTACATTTTTAATTGATTTTTCGTAGTAATGTACAATTTCTACTGAATAAGATATCAAGAAGTCTTTAAAAAGTTTCTTGATAACAATTAAATAATTTTTTTCTCAAATTAGATACACACTCTTACCATAATTTTTAATGATTTGTTCATGTGGTAGAATTTGAAAAAACTGTTGTGACATAAGAGTATTCATTTGATCCACGATTCGACTTTTTTGAAAGATGTTTTGAGAATTAATATTGTTCGAATACGATGCATCATTCCCTCTTGGGATGGAAAAATACTGTACAAAATGAAACGTCCTGCCAACAAGCTGATGTGACACGATCCAGTAAGAGTTTTCTTCTGCCTTAACTCGATTTATAGTAGCCTTCGTTTGAAGTAAGCATCTTTTATACTTTTTTATTTTATCAAATTAAACATTTTCTTTGCGAACAACTAATCTTTTTTTGACAATATAATAAATAAATCATTCGATCTGTTCATTAATTTAAAATGTGACAAATCATAAATAGAAATGAAAGCCGATTTCTTTACAGAAATTTGGATTTTTATATAATTATTTGATAATGTCCAAAATTTTAATGAGCAATAAAATAATAAACAGGGAAAAATAAAAATGCATTCGTTTCAATGAACTTCATTTTTACCGTTAAAAAAAATCAGTAACGCGAAAAAATGGATATAATAATTGTGTTCCAAAACATTTGATAATAAATTCCTCGATGAAAATATTTAGTTCAACACCCATAAAATTCGTATTTGTGAGTTCGAAACATTCAATATTTTCCACTAACAATTTTAGATTATAGACGTTCAAGTCTTAAGTGTAGGGCTTTGTGTGGAGAGCAGCAAACAGCAGCAAGGTTCACATAGCCAGGATTCGTGCAGCACAGCTTGTCAGCAAGTTTGTGTTTGTGTATGGAATGTATGATGTCAATTCTACTTTACTTTTATTTACATCTGATACATTATCCGCTTCATTCATTTACGCACGCATGTTGGCAGGCATAATCTTTTTATGCAAAATCTAAAAATACTACTTTTCTTTTTGATTATTCATGTTGCTTGAATGTTTCAATAAAAAAAAAACTTTGCGTGTGGAAGAGAAGTAAACGGATCTGTATATTTATGAGTTCGTCAATTTTTAATATTATTTTATTTAATGCTAATTTAGGTTTCAGTAAATCTTGTGAATCGTGTATAAAGAGAGCGTCTATGGGTTTATTTGCACCTGGATAGCTGCAATAGGCTGCTAGAAAAGAGAGAAATAGAACAGATGGTGACGGTGACAATAAAAAGTTACTGGCTTTTGTACTACTTGCTACAACACTACATTCACAGCTAAGAATAAATACGCCAAATGGATTGGTATGTAGATTAACAAACACAAAAGCAACAAACTTTGGTTTATAGAGTAAGAAAGTAAATGGTATTTGGATGTTGGAAAAATCATACGAGAGTTAAAACATACATGTAATTATAAAAACTTCGATGAAATTAAGTATCCATATTATAATCGAATTTCGATTTCAACGATAAAAAAAATATTGAACGAAACATCCATTATTAAATACAGATACTTTGGAACTAACCACTGCGCAACTGTTGACCAATTTTTATTCGCAATAATCAAACTGTCGCCAATCGAATTTTACTGATGAGAGTGTATTGAGCCGAACGAAACCACTTAATAATGAATATTTTACTACGTGTCCAGAATGCAAGAGCAGAAATGTATCCGCAAATTGGAAAAAGCAGCGCAGCAGCGAAAATTTCATCAAAGCAAACCCAAAGAAAATGAAATCTAGAGTTAATATGAATTAATGAAAAGAAAATTAGAATTTTTAAAAATAGGATAGGATCATGGATCTCTGCGTTTAGTCTTAAGTTCAAATTTACAATAATAATAAAAATACGAGTAAAAATAATTAAAATAATTTCATCTTCAGCAATTATTTTTCATGACATAGATTTAGAATGTTTCATTGTTTAAGTCACTGTAATGTCCAGTTTAAAAAAAATATGAGTACAGCTTGACTAAAATTTAAAAATAATTCGTCAAACTTTTTTAATACATCTACGGAGTGCAGAGTTTTTGGGCAGAGGATCATAGAAAAAAAAGCAAATAAAAAATGTTGATAAAGAAATAAGAAAGTAAAAAGAGAAAAAGATAGAGACAGACAGAATGCATTACCGCAATGCTAGCCCGAGATTGTGTGGCCTTAATGTGGGCTTGAAGGTGCAGAGGGGGGTGGAAATAGCGGCAGGGATCTCGATTGCATCGGCCCTTGACAGCGTCCATGCAGACCGTCACAGAACCGTCTTCGTTCGCCTGCACCGTCTCGAGGGGGTGCGCAAACCGGCACTCCGTCTCGCCGCGTTTGCACGCCCCGCGTTGAAACTCGCGACATACCTACAGCAAGAGCGAACACGCATGGCATGGACTACTATATACTATAGGAGTAGTTATTTATTCCTCCGTTTTTTCAATGGAGAAAACAATGCTAGTATGGATTCACTATTGAAACTTTAGAGGCGATCAATTTTTTTTACAAAAACAAATTTGCACCAAGAAAATGAAATTTGTAAATATCAAGTACACACATTTTTGTACGAAAACTCGACTAGAAATCGTAAGCGATTATTTTTGCAACTGATTTTGAAACTTTATTATTTATTATGATTCTCTTGGCACAAACGATAAAATACAATGGTCAAAATACAAAAGATTATAAGGTATTAAGTTTATATAGGCGACAATGGTGTGTTAAAAAATAGGTATAATTGTAACCTACGGAGAGGTGACTTGGCAATTACCACGATATTTATAGCGCCTATTACGCGAATCGATGACTTTCTATTTTATCATAATAAAATCGTGGTAGCGAGCCAATGTCGAGATTACGACTAGCAAGTGTTTAGCGGCCAGTTTTTCGCACTGTAACATTGGCACAATGTGAACAGGCAAGTCTACACAATTTCCAACGTGTTTTGAAGTTTATACATAATAGTAGAGGAAGTTTTGGCTGGACGTAGGAGAGATCGAGACATTTTCAACTTTTCATTTAAAGTTTTATTAAGAGTAACAACAAATATTAAGCAAAAATTAAGTTAATCGATCATAATAAAAACTCGATTTCTTCTAAGTTATCATAATTTTACATTTGTTTCAGGCGATGTGTTTTGGGAATGCTAGGGAAAAAGAAAGATGACAAATAATTCATAGTTTTAGATTATAAAAGATTGAGCTAACGGTCAGCCACTAGCCTACCAAGAGTTAGAAAGTTCACACCAGCAGGTATATGCCTTTTCGGATTATTTAATTTGTATTAGTAGTATAATAGTACGAGGTTATAAAATATAAAAATATGTAGTGAAAGACAGTTGAAAGCAAACAAAAATCTAGCATATTATGAGTAAGGGGATGTTAATTTTCATTTTGTTTTGCACTTTTCATG